AAACCTACAGTCCCTATCTTGTACGTAACCAGGGGACTGCCTGTAATCCATATGCTTCAATAAGTGTAGTGGGGCCTATGCTAAGAATATTGCTTTTACGTATCTTTCAACTGTAATATAGTTACAGGTGATAGGAAACTTTGAAGTCTATCTAGTTTAGAACTCCTTTGAATTAGAGTGCTCTTCCTCAATACTTTAAGTCATTTTAAAAGCTATTCAGAGCATTCCTCCTGGTATCCTTGGCAGTATGAATGGCTTTGAAAGAGATAGTCTCTGTTCATTCAGTGCCTATACCTCTTGTTCTTCTAATATGACAAAAGCTAAAATAGCCTTGTGGAAACTTTCCTCTCCAATCTCAAGTTCTTTTGAATACCTCGATGAACCCACTCTTCAACATCTTTTGTAAAGATTCCAGTTCTAGTTTTCTTTTGAACCCCCGCCCCCCGCCGCCCGCCTCCTCCGGGGTGAGAAAAGCTGTTCCCCGTCTCCCTGGTCTGCTGCGGGAGCTGATCTGGAAGCGGCCGCGGGTCCGGCCCCGGGTCCTCCGCCGCTTTGCTCCCCATCTCCCTGGTCTGCTGGCTCTCCCAGCAGATCAGGGAGACGGGGAGCAGCTTTTCTCGCCCCGGAGGAGGCGGGTGGTGGGACCAGGCGTCCCGCTGCTCCAGTCCTCCGGGGCGAGAAAAACCCTGTTCGTAACTGCGGAGTAACTCGGGGACTGCCTGTATTTAATATTTAAAAGTTAGATACATGCTTAAGTCTTCACAGGACTGGGCCACAGTGAAGACAATATATAGTTATTCTCAGTGTAAGCACAGAACTTTTATTGGCATCAAATGTCAGGCTGTGTTGGCTTCCACAGATCTTTTAGGTGAAAAGGGCCGTGAACTAGAGATGTGAAAAAGTTGTGCTGATATCCTACACCCTGTCAGTTTACAAGCCTTCTAGCAAGATTAGATTTAGTGAGTTTTCAGGTAGTTTTTTCATGCTTTATGGATTTGGGTAACTTTCTAGAATTGCAATCTGGAAAAAAAAGGCAGTTTTAGTTGATTTTTTGCTTTAATGTAATTTATTCTATTTTTTGTTGGCTCCCATAATGCAAATAGTTGGAAAATGAAACCAAAAGACATTCTTACATATTTTGAGTAGAAGCCACAGTTTTGCACAGTGCTAATACACAGTACATACATCAAAGCTTAACCTCATAATATGATGGCACACTGCAAAATCTCAAGTTTAGATGAGAAAATCTATTAAATCTAGACCAACACTTCCTAATATTTGCGTGCAGTATCTGTATCAAAACCAGTATAAACTTTATTTTGTTCATCTATTAAATCAAATGTAAAGTACCGTAAGCACATAAGAATGGCCATACTGCATCAGACCGAAGTTCCATCTTGCCCAATATCCTGTCTTCTGGCATGCCAGGTACCACAGTGAAAATTAACAGGACAGGTAATCCTCAAATGATCCATTCCCTGTGGCTCATTCTCAGTTTCTGGGAAATAGGATAGGGATAGCATCTCTGTCCATTCTGGCTAATAGTCTTTAATGGCCCTGTCTTCCAAGAATTGATCTAGTTTGTTTGGTTTTTTTAATTCTGTTATAGTCGTGGCCTTCACAACATCACCTGGCAGCGTTCCACTGTGCATTGTGAAAAGAACTACTTCCTTTTGTTTTTCTTAAACCTGCTACATATTAAGTTTTTCTTCACTCAGCGCACAGTCAACCTGGGAACTCCTTTCCAGAGGATGTGGTGAAGGCTAGAACTTTAACAGGGATTAAAAAAGAGCTAGATTCATTGAGGTTAGGTCCATCAATGGTTATTAGCCGGGATGGGTAGGAATGGTGTCCCTAGCTTCTGTTTGTCTGGAGATGGGTGACAGGGGAGGGATCACATGAGGATTACCTGTTGTGATCCCTCCCTCTGGGGCATCTGGTATTGGCCACTGTCCGCAGACAGGATACTGGGCTAGATGGACCTTTGGTCTGACCTAGTATGGCTGTTCTTGTATTCTAAGCACTTCCTTAACTATTTTCTCCAAACCAGTTATGATTTTATAGACATCAGTTGTGTCCCCCTCTTAATCATCTCTTTTCCAAGCTGAAAACGCCCAGTCTTATTAATCTCTCCTCATAGAGGAACAGAAGCTGTTCCATACCTTTAATCATGTTTGTTGCCCTTTTTTCTCAATTCCAATATATTTCTTTTTTTGAGAGGGAGTGACAACAGCTGCACACTGTAGTCAAGATGTGGATGTACCATTGATTTATATAGAGGCATTAAGATATTTTCTGTCATCTTATGTATTTGGGATGTAAATGGTTAATCAGCCCAGACAGAGCAGGGTGGCCTGGCCTGGCCTTCTGCATATAGGGCACTCCAGCCTGGCTGGAGCAGCCTCCACCTGTGGCCCCATTTAATTGGTTAACTGGTTAAACTTAACATTTAAGCAGTTAACTGATTAATTGGGATTTTACATCCCTCTTACGTAACCATTTCTTAATTGTTCCAAACATTCTGTAGGCTTTTTTGACTGTCACTACACATTGACTGGATGTTTTCAGAGAACTATCTACAATGACTCCAAGACCTCTTTGAGTGGTAACAGCTAATTTAAATCCCATCCTTTTATAGATACAGCTGGGATTATGTTCCAGTGAGCATTACTGTGCATTTATCAACAATAAATTTGATCTGCCTTTTTGTTGCCCAGTCATTCAGTTTTGAGAGGCCTTTTCCAGGCAGACCGTGAAGAGCTTCAAACTTAACTATCTTGAGTAGTTTTGTATCTTCTGCACATTTTTCTGCTTCACTGTTTATCCCCTTTTCTAGATAACTTATGAATATGCTGAATAGAACTGGTTCCAGAACTGGGGAACATGATGAGTTACCTTTCTTCATTCTGAAAACTGACCATTTATACTGCCCATCTTTTAATCAGTTACCAATCCTATTAAAGGACCTGTCCTCTTATGCCTAGGCAATTCACTTTGTTTAGGAGTCTTTGGTGAGGAGTCCTATTCCCAATGGGAGGTACTTAGAAGGTCAAGCTGTGGCTCTCCCTTCATCACCCACCACTGAAGTACAGCTACAAAGCAAAACCTGTGAATTTAAACCACATTTAATTAGTAGAAAGGTTAATTACTTGAGAGAACAGTGTGAGTACTACTACACTCCAAAAATGCTCTGGAGTCTCTGAGGACCACAGATGTTTAGGAGTTTGGTTTTGCATCCTACTAGAGAGGCAGGGCCATCACAACAATAGAACCATAGAGCTGGAAGAGACTTCAGAAGGTCATCAAGTCAAGTCTCCTGCTCTAGGCAGGACCAATCCCAACTAAATCAACCCAGCCAGGCCTTTGTCAAGCCGAGACTTAAACACCTCTAGGGATGGAGACTCTACTACTTCCCTAGGTAACCCATTCCACTGCTTTACCACTCTCCTAGTGAAATAGTTTTTCCTAATATCCAACCTGGACCTCTCCCACCACAACTTGAGACCATTGCTCCTTGTTCTCCATCCTCTTTGGAACCTCCCTTCAGGAAGTTGAAGGCTGCTCTCAAATCCCCCCTCACTCCTCTCTTCTGCAGACTGAATAAGTTCAAATCCCTCAGCCTCTCCTCGTAGGTCATGTGTTCCAGCCCCCAAATCATTTTGGTGCCCTCAACTGGCCCCTCTCCAATGCGTCCACATCCTTTCTGTAGTGGGGGCCCCAGAACTGGACACACTACTCCAGACGTGGCCTCACCACAGCCAAATAAAGGAATAATCACTTCTCTGGATCTTCTGCCAATGCTCCTCTTAATGCACCCTAATATGCCATTTGCCTTCTTGGCTACAAGGGCGCCCTGTTGACTCATATCCAACTTCTCATCCACTGCAATCCCCAGGGCCTTTTCTGCAGAACTGCTACTTAGCCATTTGATCCCCAGCCTGTAACAATGCTTGGGGTTCTTCTGTCCCAAGTGCAGGACACTGCACTTGTCCTTGTTGAACCTCATCAGATTTCTTGTAGCCCAATCCTCCAATTTGTCTAAGTCATTCTGGACCCTATCTCTGCCCTCAAGCGTATCTACCTCTCCCCCTAGCTTAGCGTCTTCTGCAAACTTGCTGAGGGTGCAGTCCAGCCCCTCATCCAGGTCATTGATTCACTGGAATAAATTCCCTATGGAGGTTGTGAAATCTTCATCACAGGAGATATTTAAGAGCCGGTTGGATGGACATCCATCAGGGATGATCTAGATGGTGCCTGTTCCTTTCGTGAGGGCAGGATATTGGACTTGATGGTATCTTGAGGTCCTTTCCAAGTATTCTATGAAAGTTAGTATCTAATTATTATATCCTGACATCTTAATTTGCCTGTGCTTTGAGATTAAAATAGTACTAAATAGAATGATGTAAGAACATAAGAACGTCAGACCAAAGGTCCTTCTAGCCCAGTATCCTGTCTGCCAACAGTGGCCAGTACCAGATGCCCCAGAGAGGGTGGACCGAAGAGTGCCTCAAAATGGATTCCTTAAGGATCCCTTCCATGATTTTTCCAGGAACCGAGGTAAGACTGACCGGCCTATAGTTCCCTGGATCATCCTTCTTCCCTTTTTAAAAGATGGGCACTACATTTGCCTTTTTCCAATCATCTGGGATCTCTCCAGATCTCCATGACTTTTCAAAGATAATGGCCAAAGGCTCCTCAATGACATTTGCCAGCTCCCTCAGTACTCTCGGATGCATTAACAATGCTCCTTAGCATCATACTGAAATGCTAGTATAGGACTACCAAGACATCATATCACTTACAATTTTGTCTAAAGAGATACCAAATGTAATGGGGAGCAGAGACTAAATCAGAGATGGTAACAATCTTTGATGCCAGTGCAAATTCAACAAAAATATTTCAATATTTTTGGATTTCACATTACAGAAACTTTAGAGAATTTCAAATTAAGACTAACAAGTACCATTAAATGTGTGTTTTGATACTTTCCTTTTTTCCAGATTGCATGACGTCAGTCTCTCCTGAGTTGTGGAGGACAGAAGCTTCACAAACCACCAGCCAACCTATTCACATCTTGCACTGAGTGAGCTTTTCCCAGGTACTCTTAACTTAGATCTCTATTGATCATAATAAGAATGGCTAATGCCGTGTCTTCGCTGGCAGTAGGAGTAGTCCCCAGTTGGACAATCTGCCTTCGTGCAGAAGAAGAGTACATCTGCAAAATAATGTACTTAATATTCCATGGACTCTGCAAGGTGAATTATTATGCTCAGTGTTTTGTTTTGTAAACTGCATTCCCTTTTTGGAAATGGGTGCGATCTTTTTTTAAGGTTCCAGGACTAGCACAGTGAGAAAACAAAATGCAAGAATGTCCATGAACTTTACATTAAGACTTGCGTTAATACTAAATAAAGGCTAGTTTCTATGATAACACTTGTATTAATAGTTTAAAATACAAATAGCGATGATAGTTTTGGACTGGGTGAAGGAATCATATCAAGGAAAAATGTACACAAGCTAGTTTACTTTTGATTTCCCATTGGGTGAAAATTTAAGGGCTGTATTCATTGTGTCTTGACACTGGTTAAGTTGGACTAATTTCCTATGCTGATGTAACATCAGAAATATTTTTCTTGGCAGTGCTACATGGTGTAGGTTTTTTTTTGTGGTGATTTGAACTGAAGCATTTGTTACATGATGACAGTAGCTGTTTGACATGTTTTGCATAATTTTATCCTTAGCTATAGCAAACATACATGGTGATATTTTTGCGAAAATGTATTTTATAAGTAGATATTTAACGTATATTTGATTTCAAGTATATTTTGACAGCTGTATGTTATCAAAAAGAACAAACCAACTTTTAAACACTGTTCTGGACTATAGATTGAACCTCCCTGGTCTGGAACCCTTTGGAGTTTACCAGATCAGAGACCTGACCACCGGTCCTCCTGGCTGCGGGATTGGCTCTCCTCCTGGCCTGGGCTAAGTCCATGGACTGGCTCTGTCCCAGCCTCCTGGAACATGGATGTTGCGGGATCAGAGAGGTTTAACCTCTACTATACTCTTTTTCCTATAACCCTTCTATAGCATTCTTATGCATTTTTCTCTTGAACATCTGTTTCTCCTTGAGTAAGATTTTTCCTTGTCACATATATCTTTCCCAATTGTCACCATTTTAAAGATGTTATAATGTCCCCTGGATGAGGGGATGAATTGCACCCTCAGCAAGTTTGCAGGTGACACAAAGCTAGGGGGGAGAGAGAGATACATTGGAGGGTAGGGATAGGGTCCAGAATGACCTAGGCAAATTGGAGGATTGGGCCAAAAGAAATCTCATGAGGTTCAACAAGAAGAAGTGCAGAGTCCTGCACTTGGGATGGAAAAATCCCAAGCACTGCTACAGGCTGGAGACAGAGTAGCTAAGCAGCAGTTCAGCAGAAAAGGACCTGGGGATCACAGTGGATGAGAAGCTGAATATAAGTCAACAGTGTGCCCTTGTAGCCAAGAAGGGTAGCATATTAGGGTGCATTAGGAGGAGCATTGCCAGCAGATCTAGTAAAGTTATTATTCCCCTTTATTTGGCACTGGTGTGGCCACACCTGGAGTGTTGCATCCAGTTCTGGGCCCCCCACTATAGAAAGGTTGTGGATGAATTGGAAGGGTCCAGCAGAGAGGAACCAAAATAATGAGGTGGCTCGAGCACATGATCTATGAGGAGAGACTGAGGGTTTTGGACTTATTTACTATGCAGAAGAGAAGAGTGAGGGGGGATTTGATAGCAGCCTTTGACTTCCTGAAGGGAGGTTCCAAAGAGGATGGAGAGAGGCTGTTCACAGTAGTGACGGATAGCAGAACAAGGAGCAATGGTCTCAAGTTTCTGTGGGGGAGGTCTAGGTTGGATATTAGGAAAAACTATTTCACTAGGAGGGAGAAGCACTGGAATGGGTTACCTAGGGAGGTGGTGGAATCTCCATCCCTAGAGGTTTTTAAGTTTCGGCTTGATATAGCTTTGGCTGGGACGATTTAGGTGGGATTGGTCTTGCCTTGGGTAGGGGGCTGGACTTGATGACCTACTGAGGTCTCTTCCATCCCTAGGATTCTATGATTCTGTGATTCTAAGTCTGCTGGCCGGCGTGGACAAGAGGCCAGAGGAGAGGAGTCAAAGAAAAGGCTGCCGGCCAGGAGTAAAAACAAACCAGAGGAGAGGCCTGACTGAGCCCTTTGGAGCATCCGCCAGCCCAAAGACCGGCCCTGCCTATGTTTCACCTCACGTAAACTACATGCTTTCAAAATCAGACATCAAATACGAAAGTGTCACAGCACTATTACAGAAAAATTGTTCTTTCTCATTTTGTCTTAGAGTGGCTAGTTATCCAGTTTTGGACTGGAGCATCTGATCAAACAGGGATCCTTGTGGTTCCAGTCAGCACTGCTGACTGGGCTCTTGATTGTGAAATTGGTGGTACTGCCAAGCTATGCAATAGGGCTGATAGGCTTCCTTCTAGCTCCAGTATGTCTTCCAGATCATGAAGCAGCTGGCCTGTTCAGCTCCTAGGGACAGCCAAGGGTAGGGGGTCTGTGTGCTGTCCTACCCTCACCTGCAGGCACAACTCCCATTGGGTGGGTCAGGAGAGGAGAGGGGAGGAACTAGTGCAGCTCATGAGAGCTCAGCAGGCAGTTGTTGAGGGATATGTCATACGCTTCTCCCACTGCTGCCTGGCCCTCTTCTCCTTGTGCTCATGTGGCTGGGCTCAAGCTGCAGTCTGTTGCCCTGTAGTTGGCATTTTGGAGCTGGAGATATGTGTACTCCCATCTCTGAGTGTTGGGAATGAGACTGCGCCACCATCAGTTCATCCCTCCCTGCCCCAATGCCCCTACACCCACGTCACTTCATCCCTCCCCCACATCCTGCTCTGCACTCCACCTCTACCCATCCCAGACCTGTGCCTCTTAGAGCAGTGTTTCTCAACCTTTTTTTATGAAGTGCCCCTTTAAAACAAATGTATAAGTACCACCAGTACCTACAGTTTTCAGACACATTTTTTTCTACCATTGAAACACATTTGTTTAAACAACTTAATCATAGCTAGGCAGGCAATGACGTTTTTGGGTGTAAAAAGTACAAAAATAATAAAGTGCTGTAAAACTTAAAACAAAAATTCAGTTTTCTCCAAATTTCAGTTGTGTTGAGGTACCCCCCAGACTTCTCCCGAGAACCCCAAGCGTACTCATACCACTCATTGAGAAACACTGCTTTAGAGTGCTCTCCCACCCTCCTCTTCACCTCCCAGAGCCCTTGCCCCACAGCCCTCCATCCCATTCACCTCCATATAGTGTTGCACTCCCATTATGCTGTTATACACCTCTCGACTCCCCATACCTTTTGCACTTGCACCCTTCTGCTTTCCTTGTCACTTTCCTCTCCCCCACATACTCTCCACACCCTCTCCTCTCCCCTTCACTGTCCCTTCACACCCTCATCCTAGTTTCATCTTTGGCCTCTTTCCTTCCCCTTTTCCATTTCAGTCCACTCACCTCCATTCCTGACTGGGTGATTTAGGCTGCCCCTGAAAATGTGTATGGAATTGTCGCTATGTAGCCAAGTATGAGTGTGCATTAATTGTATGTGTGTAAGAGACTGTATGTCTTTGTGTCGGGAGGTATGTGTACTTCTGCTTGTGCATATACCTGTGGCTGTGTCTACACTATAAGGTTCTTGCGCAAAAACCCGTGGAGCATCTAATCTCAATCACGTTTTTGCACAAGAAAATCTGTAGTCAATCAGAACAGAGGGCTTTTTGTGGTGTAGGTATGCCTCCTTCTACGAGGCATAACTCCTTTTTGTGCTACAGCTCTTGCGCAAAAAGGCACGTGTGGCCATTCTGTGAATGGCCATCAGAGATTTCGTGTGCAAGAGTGTCCATGCAGTGTGGACACTCTTGCACAAAAGCGCATTGCAAAAGTGATGCTCTTTGAGGTGTGGATGCGCTTTTGCGCGAGAAGTTTTTGCGCAAGAACTCTTCCGCAAAAGACTTCTTGTGCAAAAACCCTGCAGTGTAGATGTAGCCAGGGTGAATAAAATTTGCAGCATAACTCTGACTTTTGCTCCTTTTGACTCATAGACTTTAAGGTAATAGACTTTTGCTGGCTTTGCTATAAAATATATGTGTATTCAATTCATAACAAGTTTTTAAAAGATATGGGAATTAGAAAAGAATTGTAATGTTTCTTTACAAGTTAATATTGTTGACTAATAATATGAGAAGCGCCAGTAGAGCATACATTTCTCCCCACCTTTCTCTATCTACATTATGAACTCTTTGTTGCAGACCCTATATTTTTGTGTATATGTCTAGCACCTGCCACCCCAGAGTCCTGGTCTTATTTGGGGTCTCTAATTAATATAACAATTGTTTAATGCCTAATATGGAAGTATATGTTGGTGCATGTTAATTATGTATATGTGTATTCATGTATGTATCTAGGTATAGATGTTGGAGTCAGTTTCTACAGATTTATTTAGGTATCTGGACAAGTGTGCATTTCGTTTTTGTGCTTAATGGATTTGTATTTGGCCTTCAGGAATGTGGCTTTCATAGACCCATTGCAACAGTGATAATGTGTAGTCCTAATTCCAAACAAAAAATTACGATAATTTTAGTAAAAAGTATGCATCTGTTTACGAAAAATGGGAAGAGAAAAAGGAGGGTATGTCTACACAACAGGGCTTAACTCGAAATAAGCTATGCAAATTGAGCTAAGTCAATTGTATAGCTTATTTTGAAATTGCTTATTTCGAATTAGGAAGCATCTACACAGCACTTACTTCGAAATAGAGCACTTTTCCTCTGACTTCCCTTATTCCTTATATAATGAGGGTTACACGAGTCATTCAGAAGTCCTCCAGTTTGACAGTCTTTTCTCATTATTTTGAAATAACTGCCTGCTGTGTAGATGTGGACTAAGTTATTTTGGAATAGCACTAGTTATTTCAAAATAGTGTTGCAGTGTAGACGTACTCAGAAAAAATTATGAACAACTTTGATTATTATTTTTTTAATTACCTTTTTTGACTGTTTTGCTGCCATCTCTAGT